AGGCGTATGAGAACGAAAGCATAATTAAATGCCTCGCTGTATCATAGCTTAAATTAGCCGTAATTAACTAAACCAAGATTTCATTAATATCTCTTGTCGTCCACCTAGCTTCTACATCTAGTTTTGTACATTAATTTAGGTACTGAACGTATGATTATTATTTCTTCTACAGTTTTCGGGTTTTGCTAAATGCAAAAAGGATATATGATATGAGTATTAAAGATATATGCGTGGAGTCAATTACTCACATGGTCATTCAACTATCTCAAATTATCTCCTAAAGTCATTTTTCTTTTGTTTGTAACAATAAAGTCACTGAACTATGCATATTGCACTCAGAAGGTCGCTCAACTATATTTACCAAATTTTTGATTGCAAAATACCTATTTTATCCTCTAATTATATCTTCTTTTATTTATTTTTTTAAACTTTTTAATATTATTATTTTCCCTTTTTAATTTATATTATGGACTTACCTATAAAATAAATAAAAATTATTTATAAATTATAAAAATAAAAAGTATTTAAGCATCTATAATGCTGGAATAACAAAATAATGAGCATAATAAAAAAATTAATTAGAATAATTTGTTTGTAACAATAATTTTAGTATGAACAACAAAAATTCAAAAATTTATTTACACAATTCAGAATGAAAAAAAATAAAGGTTATAAAATATATATTCATGCACGTAATATAAAATTAATTATTTACCCTATACAAATGGTCCCTGCTTTTCGGTGACATAACTTTGTGTCGTCGAAAAGTTGGTAGAAACATAATGATATAATTGAGCCTAATTTTCAAGAATATATAATGTATATTATAAAAATACCTTTATTTAAATAATTATTTTTATATTACGTGCATGGAATATATATTTTACAACCTTTGTTTTTTTATTCTGAATTGTGTAAATAAATTTTTGAATTTTTATTATTAATACTAAAATTATTATTACTAACAAATTATTTTAATTAATGCTTTTTTTACTATGCTCATTATTTTGTTATTCCAGCATTATAGATGCTTAAATACTTTTTATTTTTTCAATTTATATTATAATATTTATTTATTCTATAGGTAAGTCCATAATATAAATCAAAAGGGAAAATCATAATATTAAAAAGTTTAAAAAAATAAAAAGAAGATAAATGCTTATAATTTATAGGGTAAAATAAGTATTTGACAATCCAAAATTTTGAAAATCTAGTTGAGTGACATTCTGAGTGCAATAGGCATAGTTCAGTGACTTTGTTGTTACAAACGAAAGTAAAGTGACTTTAGGAGATGATTTGGGATAGTTGAGTGACCATTTAAGTAATGAACTCTAAGACACAATCTACTAATTAATCTATTTCATTCCAATATCCCACTAGAAAGAAAGAAAGAAAACGACAACCTTCTAGAAGACGTAAGTATATATTCTATGCGCTAATTCCTTTCATCCTCGTATTTTTCCTCATAAAGAAATATCGTATTATTTCCTTTTCTCTTTAAGTTAAAGAAAAGAAAAAGAAATCATCATTTTTGTGCTAATTCCTTTCATTCTCGAATTTTCCCTCATAAGACCTAAATGAGAATCGTATTATTTTTTTTTATAAAATAAAGAAATAATAAGAAATAATAAGTTTCAAAGGAATATTGAGTTATTTACCAAAAAAACTAATTATTTTCAATCCTCTCTTGAGAAAACTTCTAAAAATAGAATTTGCAGTGAGGAGTACAAAACCTTAATTATATATGAAAAAAACTTCGGAAAAGGGTCATATATATTCCTTTACTTTCAAATATTATTTATATTTACCCTCCGTGATACTTTCCGACTCTATATACCCTCGCCGTTAGACTTTTAAACAAAAATGCCCCTCTGTCTAACAGACCAGTAGGACCGAACAATCAAAGAGACACGTGGAAGCTATATACTCATTTGGATATACCCATCTATTTAGCCTAATCCATACCCTTACTCACTTGGTGTATGTTTAATTCGCGAATTTTTCTCACTGTACAAATGGATGGCTTAAAAGGATATCTTCTAATACCCCTTTTTCTTATTTTTGTACAGATCTATGTATGTGTGCGCGTTTTCCCCTAACTTTGGCATTTTTCGAGCACCTGGCATGGTCGACTCTGGAAAAATTGTTTTCTTCAGATTCGAGAAGATTGACCCATTGTTGTTGTCGTTTAAGGTGTTGGGAGCAATCTCCTCATCAGCAGAAATCATTGCGCATTGGTTTTGGTCGATTTGGACAGCCGGAACTCCATTTCCGGCCACCTGGTGCTCATCAGAGAGTTGCAGAGGTTTGGGGACGACGATTGGCACGGTGGAATAGCTAGTACGAACTAAATGAAGTGGCCGAAAATTTCTTTTTGTTCATGATAATTGTGGCCCTCTCTGTAGCTGTTGTACGAGGATTCAGTTCAAGAATCAAGTATGGGATTTTACTCGTCGACACTAATATTAATTCCGTTTAGTTTTGAACTTTGGTCAAAACAGTCCTTAGTAAACAAACGTGCCCAAACAATACTGAAAGTGAATTGCAGCAATTACCTAGCTTATGTCAGTATGTGCCAAATCGGATTTGCTGCCGTCTTGGTTTGGATTAATTTTGAAATAAAATCAAAAACCCATTTCGGATTTTCATGTTCACAGATCTGAATATTTAATAGATGTTCAGTGATTTATTGTTTAGATCTTCTAAAAATTATTTATTTGTATTAGATTCGGAGTTTAACACTTATTTCATCAAGATTTAAGAGAAGAAAACTTGAAAAGTCCATTTCTGAATAGTGAAAAGAGTTGAAGAACTCTTCAAGTTCTTCAAAATCTGGAAAAGTCCTTGTGAAAAAAAAATGAGAACAATAATTGTTGTTGTTTTCTGGGAATATGAAGTTACTTGAATCCGATTTGGGATTGTTTGGTTGTAACGGTGGTTGGAGAGACGGCAATGATGTCGGTGGTGAAGGCTAGTGTTATTCGTTGAGCTCAACTGAAATGGAGTCTGTAGGGTTTTAACTTGGTGTGATTAATTAATGACATGGCAGCTGACATGGCAGCTGACATGGATAAAATTGATGTGGTCATCTGCCACAGTGTCAAAACGTTAGGGTTAGGGGTATTTTTTCAAACTTCATTAACGGCAGGGACGAGAATGGCCGAAAAGTGTAACGGGTGGCACAAGTAACCAATAAACAATAGTAGAGGGGCAATTTTGACCCTTTGCCCTACACTAATTGGGTCCATTGAAAAGCTTTCTATCCCACATGCTTTGTATATATTGTTGTAGAAAAGAGCAGAAGAACTGAGTGTGCATTAGAAAATAATTAAAATTCTTTGGATTGAACACGGGTTCGAGCCCGTGGAAGCATCCACTAATATTTGCATTAGGGTAGATTATCCACATCACACCCTTGGGTACGGCCCTTCCTCGGACCTTGCGTCAACGCGGAATGACTTGTGCACTGGACTTCCCTCTTTGGATTGAACACGTTAATTCTATAAACAAGGCTTGGAAAAAATGAAAAAAACAATATAAGCAAAAAGAGTCTACGGCTGCCTTATCCGTGACTTGTGAGTAATGGCCAACTTCAAGTCTTGGCATTTTAATACTTGAGTTGTTAGTTGAAATGGATAATCGTTAAGACTAAATAGTGCTAACAAAGAAAGAAGAAGAAAACAGTAAAGGAAGAAGGCGAGAAGCAGCAAAGAAAAGAATACTGGAATTTGGAAGGAGGGAAAAAGATAATTTATTCATTACAGAAAAGGAATATTGTTTTGGTCGATGGGGGTTGGGTTAAGCAGCTTGGTCGGGCGTGTTATTCATTTAAGAATGAGTGGGTGTTTTTGTCCCATGACAACATGCCACGTGGATTTTTATGGTTCGGATGGTGGATTTAACGGATGAGGGGTAAAAGTAAAACTAAAGTATAACGATAGGGATGAATTTATTAGCAAACTAAAATTAACGGGGGATAAATATAACTTATTTCTAATAGTAGAGGGCTATATATAACCTTTTCCGTTTTATCTTCCTCGTCCGTCGTGACATTTCTAAAACGAAATGCTAGCTTTTGTTGTAATTAAATACAAGGAGATGGAGATCAGTATGAAAAACAGTTTAGGGCATGAAAAACATACGGTATTAGAGGAAGATGGTTAAAGGTGATGGAAGTTATAATAAGATAGCAACATTATTTTGGTCTCCCACCTGCATGTGTTCGGCACCCGCCTTGGGAGGTGCACCTTCGTGCAATCGGTTTATTTTTAAGGCTTGAACGCGAGATCTTTGATTAAAATTAAAGAATTCAAATTTATTCCATCATAATTATTGGGGGTGTAAGGAAGCACATTTTATTCTCTCTCTTACCATAATATTACTTCTATATATAATTGCCTCATATTGTGGTGGTCAATTTTTCTGTTTATATTAAAGTAAACTAAGTTATAGTAAATAATTTACGGGCATGATAAAGCTCTCTTCTGTACATACGTGGCTTTTTAACTAACATTATTGGGCAAACAAAAAATAAATAATGTACGTACTATATGCCAAAATATATATGTAGCCTGAAAAAGACATACAAACAAATCTATACCAAATAGAGTAAACGTAATAAAGTTTGAAGTATATTCTAGCGAATTGTAAACATTGGTGAGTTTTGGACCAATGTCTTTAAGGACAAGTCATTGTAAGATATATCGAACTCATAGTAGGAGCAAAAAGTTTAATAAAAGGGGAAATACAAATGCAGCCAAAGAGTAGAAAACTCTTTGACACATTTTCTCATTTAGTTTGAACCACTCAAAACAAAAGTAAAACCAGATTAAATGATGGGCACATGAGTTATATATCATTTAAGTTTCGAAATTAAAACAACTGCCACAAGTCATCACCATATTCATGCCCTGCTTTCATCAGCTAAGCCATTGAAAATGACTTCATTTAATCTGCATGGACATAGCCAACTTGAATATCAACTACTAGAAACTCACCCAATTAATAAAAAATTGCATTTAAAACTTGTACATTCCAATCAAAACAATATACATATTAACCATTTATTGATAAAAATCATCATCTTGATCATCACAATACAAGCATTTTTTTTTCCTTTTCAGTCTTTGTCCCTTTCTTTTTCTTTACCATGATTAAAAAGACGGAAAAACCCACGAGGAAGACGTAAAAAGTAGTTGAAAAATAAATCTTTCATTTAGTTTTTACGTACTAGCTAATTCATTTAGTTTTCTCTGTTCATCTCTTTCTCCTTCTCCTTCTCCTTGTCTGGAACACGACCGTTTGTTCCAGCCATCATGGCGTACTTGTCCTTCCTTGTTAAATTAGTACATTCGAAGCCAAGAGTACCACCAAGAACTTTCTGAATATAATTAGCCACTTCAATCGCTGATTTTCCACCATTACTACAATTGAGCTCAGGAGGGAGTTGATTCAAGAAAGTGATCTCATAAGTTGGCCTTGGATTCATAAAAACAAAATAAGGATCCAAGAATTTATACCCACGAACTGTCGTACCATAGAAAACACTTTGTTTCGTATTAATTGCCACTGGAACAATTCTATCAGTAAGCTCAGCAAATAATGCACTAAATCTCAACAAAAAAGGTTCCCTACAAGTAGTCCCCTCAGGACATATAACCAAATCACCTTCTTCAAGCAATTGCTTAATATGTGCAGCATCTTTCTCCCTTTCTCTTGACAATGCAACGGCTTTTATCGGCGAAATCATTTCAGAAAATTTACTAATACTATATGTAACACAACTAATTTTTCTGCCTAGTGCAACAGCTGTGACAACAGGGTCTAAGACAGTTCTATGGTTACAAACAAAAAGTACACCACGTTGACCATCTTTAGGGGGTGGAGGAGGGGTACCTTTGACAATAAGTTTAATACCAAGGATCATATAATTGTATCTGGCAATTTTTTCTGGTAAAGGAATATTAAGGTATACTCTAAGAATGGAGAGAATTATTCCTATTGGCATCCATAAGAAAGTTAAGAGTGCCATAATTGGTGTAGGCCTTTGTACTAAACGACCTTCATGGAATATGACAGGACATAAAAGTTTATTTCTTGCTAAGGGTTCGATTTTTGTTCTTGGGACCATGTACCCTTCCTGCAATAATATTCAGGCAATGAGTTAAATAGCAAAAAGACATGTACAATTTTACTTTAAAAACTTGAAAGTAACATAATTCTCAAATTTTTGAAGAGTAATTTTTAGAAAGTTTCCACTAATAGTGTAAATGAATTTTTATAGTATTGGTGCAATATATCTACTTGTTCCAAAAAGTTACTTATCTTCATCCAGTTGGTTCGTTAATTTTTAAGGTATTTTTGGGTTAACAGAAAACAACGGGCATTTTTAGCTCACGAGTAGGTGGATGGAAGGCATTTATATACCAAATTAAATCCAACATATTAGAGGCAGTTTTAGCCCTTTTTCCATTCCATTAAATATGAATTTTCATGTTTAATTACCCTTAGAATGACATGACAATGTAATTTTTTGAATTGTTAATTTATTAAAGTTAAATTTTCTTCATCAATTTGGTCCCCAAGGAGAGAGTTAGGAGAAATATTCATGGTTTTGGTAGGTAATCCTTTTAGAGGTACATCTTAAATGAAAATGTGGTGGAACAGAAAGATGTATCATGACTTGTCTATTTTACTAGTACGCTGAAATAAATGTCAACAATATAACTAAGGACGAATAATAAAGTGAGCTTATTAATAATTTTACAAAATAACAAAGCTATGTGTACGGCAAGTCATAAGATCAACCTTTTCTTTCTGGTCTTTGTCATACTAATCGTGCTCTGAAACAAAGTCTTTAGTGAAAACCCCTAAATTGGGATCACAAAAAAAAACCAGCCCATAAATATAGACACTATAATTTCTATACACTACAAAAAATTAATAAACTTTTAGCAGCAATAACTATTTACTCCAATACGTAGTCTACTTTGATTGATGTAACTAGTATCCTAATCTAATCATTTAAATTCCCATTATAATGCATGTGATGTACATGTACTACTAAAAACAGATAGGAAAAGCAAAAACAAAAAAACAAAAAAAAAAGATTTTCTTAGACAAGAGCTATCATGAATTAGCATCAAGAACAATAAAACATCTTACTAACCCACCAAAAATATAAAAATTGTAATGCCAATATAGGATCGATTTCTTTTATTCAAACTGCAATTGGCCATAGGTGGTCATTTTCGCAAAAAGGACATGAGTAAGGGCAGCCTGATCCACTAAGCTCTCGCTATGTGCGAGGTCCGTAGAAGGGCCAGACTACAAGGGTGAATTGTACGCAGTTGTACCCTGCATTTCTGTAAGAGGCTGTTTCCACGGCTTGAATCCGTAACCTTCTGGTCACATGGCAGCAACTTTATCGGTTACGCCAAGACGAAAAAGACATGAGTAACTATAGTAAAAGATATATAGGACTAAAGTTTACCTTGCATATGGACATGAAATCATGATCAGTCTCTCTATCTCCAAGTCCTAAATCAGGTACATTTGTGCCAAATTCCTTAAGAATAGCAACCCTTTTGTGCTCTCCAACAAGAACACCTGGTTTTCGAACAAAACCAGTTGCACGTCCAGATTTAGAAACTTCTAATTCTGTTCCAAGAACCTTATCAGCACCTAAGAATCTCTTGGCAAAATGTTCAACCATGATTCTTGGACTTGCAGTAACAATATATCTTTTACCAAAAGAATTGAACACTTTCCAAGTTTGTGGATGGACATCCTCGGAATAAAACTTAGGTAAAACAGCCCTCGACACGATTTCGATGTCTTTAATCTTTACTCCAACAAAGGAAATGAAGATTAAGGTTTCAATGGCAATAGACTCTGAGATAAATATGTAAATAAAGTAGACAAATGGAACAGATGCTAATAGGAATAATGCCCTTATAAGGTTACCAGCTTCTAAGGCAATAAGAAAATAATAAGGAAATGCAGTTGTTGATATCAAGAGTGTACCATCTAAATCAGAAGCAACTGTTTGATTTGATCTATTTTTTTTGCTATATTTTGAAATTGGTTCAAAATGGGGAAGAGCACCCATTATGAGAGAAGGAAGAATGAGAGATTATGTGTGTATGTGTGTGTGTTTGGGCTATGTGATCTCTTGTGAAGAGAAGGGAGGGGTTTAAAAAGAAATGAGAAAAGATGACCATGTTATAATTGTTGTTAGTCTAACCTTACTTGAAAATGTTATGTGGTTGATAGAAAGTGTTTTATTTTTTTGTTTATTTAAGTTATATATACTGATAATGTAAACAATTTGATACTATTATTAGTGCAAATTAACTATATATAGCAGGTAGTTATTCTATCTTGTAGGCTATCGAATGAAAAATCACCCGTTATTATAGATTAATTTTTGAAGGATTTGACACATACCTTACGTAATATAACCGGGGTGAGAGGTAGGGTTAGGGAAAAAGAGAACCATTATGTAAATAATGTGATATTATCATTAGTGCAACAAAACTGTATATAACGGATAGTTATTCCATCTTGTAGGTCATCGTATGAAAAATCACCCGTTATTATAGATTAACGTTCGAAGGATTTGACACGTACCTGACGTAATTATAAGAAGGCTTTTGTTGATACTTAGATTATGGTAGTTGTAGAGGAGGGGTCCAAGTAGTTGATAAGTCAATATAACAGTTCTACGTTAACATTCAATTAGCCTACTTTTTAGTTCTTAGATGCCGTCTTCGCCATGCTATTATACTTTTTCAAGGATTTATTTGATCCTCTTTTTTACCTGTCTTAATTAAACTGACATCTTCATAGTCAGTGCTCTTTCGGCTCAATAAATATCATAAGCTCAGGATTCAGGATTTTAGTACAAGATTTATAAGATCAATATAGTTTTATTTACTTTGTAGTATATAATATTACTATTTTAAGTGATCTGATAATGCAATTTTTTGTTATTTACAAATTGTATTTAAAGACGTTAAACTCTAAGCTTTACTAGTATCTTAAATAAAGTCCTTCAAAAGATCTAAAGTTAGTCAAAACAAAACAAAATAAGACATGTATTAAAATGTGGTGAATGGGAGCCTTAAGGTAATGATAAAATTGTTTCTACGTGATTTATAGGTCGTAAGTTCGAGCCGTAAAATCAGTCATTGATGCTTGTGTCGAGGTAGACTACTTATATTATACCCTTTTGAGGTGCGACCATTTCCCAAACACTACATGAACACCGAAAGCTTTGTACATAAGACTACCCTTTTTAACTTTAAAATGTGGTGGAAGTTCATTAACTCAATGGTTGAGATCAACCGAGGTAATTTTTACCACAGTAAAAGAAAGAAAAAACATTCTGTCAGAGCAGGAAATGAATGTCTCTCACAGCAACTAAAATTAGGTGTACCAAGTACTCTAATACACAGGTTTTAACTTCCCTTTTCACCAAAAATGTTGGCAATTGTGTTAGTACTATGACTTCATTGCACCTATATATATTATCCCAAAGCAAAGAAACGTTAGAAAAGTGAGACGAGAAATATTTAAAAAAGAAGAAAAAAGAACAAATTGCATTAGATATAGTTAGATGCAAGCTACGCAAGAAATTTGTTTGCTTTTGATCATATAAACTCTCAACTAACAACTATTGCGGTGAAAGAAGTAGTCAACTCAAGAATTAACAAGAGAATTTTCTTTTGTTATCAATAGTTCAGAAAGTTGGTTACTAAATTAAGGAGACCAAATCTAAAAAGATGATCTTTTTAAAAAAAAAAATTCTAAAATGCAAATAGATGCATGTATTCTCTTTGGATTTCTTGTTGACAATATGATCCCCTGCAAATAAAAAATTGAAAGAGAGAACGGGATCGGAAAAGAACAATACACACACACACACATATTTGTATTATAAAATAGTAGAAGAAAAGTATATATGGTTCAACAATTTGGCCTATTTGCCTCTTTTAGCCATTAGTGAACACTACAAGTTTCTACATTTTGGTTATAAGAAAAAGGAAACCAAATACGAAATGTTCTGAGCTAAAGCCAGAGGATAAACCAGAGAAAATCCTAATCTCGAAAAAGTTAGCTCACCAAACGGCAAAGGTTATCACTAGCTAGTCTTAATTAAATCCTTATCACTTCGTTCGCCTTTTTACCATTCGTAAGTACATTCTATAATGGATAAAATTGTAAATACAAATATAATGCTCTTATGGAAAAAACAAAAATTGATGTATGATAAAAATGAATAATTAAGAAAAGAAGAAGAAGTAGGAAACTCCTCCTTTAATTAGAATCCCTAATTGTACTCTAACAAAGAATGTAGAAACGGTCCCTTCATATCCTAGCTTATGTCACGATTTTCCTTCCGTAGGATGCTGTGACGACACCTAGCCTCTAAGACTAGGTAAGCCTAACACATACTAAATTAATAGCAAAATTTAACCACGACTAACAAATATGAAATAGAAATCTCTATACAACACTTACAATCCCAAAACCGATAGTACAAGTGTCACGACCCGAATTTCCCACCCTCGGGAGTCGTGATGGTGCCTACTCGTGAAAGCTAGGCAAGCCAACCAGTTTAACTATTTACCTTGTTTCCATTTTTAATCCGATAATAATTAAGAACCAACATTGAAATAACAACAGAATTTAAATAGGTGGAAGACTAAGTTGCAAAGTTTTAATAATACTGCTAATACCAATCTATAACAAATCTACCCAAGACTGGTGTCACAACTTCACAGACTGTCTAAGTGTACTACAAATAAAGGTCTGAAGGAAATAACACAACTCTGTCTCTGGAAATACATGAAAGAAACAAGAATAATAGATAGAAGGAGACGCCAAGGCCTGCGGACGCCTACAAGACTACCTCGGGTCGCCTGATGAACACGAAACAGCTATCTCACTGCGGTCCGTAATCTACAGCAATGGGATCTGCACAAAAGAGTGCAGTGTGTAGTATCAGCACAACCGACCCCATGTGCTGGTAAGTGCCTGGGCTAACCCCAGCGAAGTAGTGACGAGGCTAGGACAAGACTACCAAATAAATCTGTGCAGTTAAATCATATACAGCGGAAATAAAGGCAGATATTTACAGTTAAAGAGGGGAGGGGGAAAACATGCTGCGGGGAGTATCAGATAACAACAGAATACCAAAGAGTAATATAGAGAAATCGAAATTCAATTGCTAACAAGAATAAGAGAAACAAACACAGTATTCTAACAAGAATAAGAGAAACAAATACAGTATTCACTTTCATCTCTTTATTGTTGCAGGCGTGCAACCGGATCCCATTTCGAATATCTTGTTGCAGGCGTGCAACCCGATCCCATTTCATATATCTTGTTGCAGGCGTGCAACCCGATAGGCGTGCAACCCGATCCCATTTCATATACCTTGTTGCAGGCGTGCAACCCGCTCCCATTTCATATATTACCGTTGCAGGCATGCAACCCGCTCCCATTTCATATATTTCAGTTACAGGCGTGCAACCCGCTCCCATTTCATATATTCCGTTGCAGGCGTGCAACCCGCTCCCATTTCACATATTACCGTTGCTGGTGTGCAACTCGCTCCCATTTCACATATTACCGTTGCAGGCGTGCATTCCGCTCCCATTTCTTTATCAACACCAACCAAAAGAATCCCAGCAAGGGAACAATAATATTAAAACAAATATTCCGGCAAGGGAACAATAATGATAATAACATCACGGCAAGGGAACTACAATGATAACAACATCCCGGCAAGGGAACAATAATGATAATAGCATCCCGGCAAGGGAACAATAATAAAATCCTCATATGAAACGCAATAAACCATAACGGAGGCATAATAATTACAATACAAGACTCGCGGGCATGCTTGACACCGACGTATAGATACTCGTCACCATGCCTATACGTCGTACTCCACAATTAACACGTAACAAATAAGACTCGACTCCTAATCCCTCAAGCTAAGGTTAGACCAAACACTTACCTCGATGCCACGAACATAATTCACGTCTCAACTATCGTTTTACCCCTTGATTTCACCACCAATTAGCTCGTATCTAGTCACAAGTTACTAAATTACATCAATAAACGCTAAATGAATCAATTCCAATGCATGAAAATGAATTTTCCAAAGTTTTACCCAATAAGTCAAAAATTGCCCCCAGGCCCACATGGTCAAAACCCGAGGTTCGAACCAAAACCCGATTATCCATTCCCCCACGAACCCAAATACATAATTTATTTTGAAATCGGACCTCAAATCGAGGTCCAAATCCCCAATTTTTGAAAAACCTAGGTTCTACCCAAAACACCCATTTTCCCCATGAAAATCATTGATTTTGAGTTGAAATCATGTTAAAAGATGTTAATGATTGAAGAAAACGAGTTAAAATTGACTTACAATCGATTTGGAAGAAGAGTTGTCTTTGAAAAATCGCCCAAGAGTGTTTTGGTTTAGAAAGAGTGTGAAAAATGGGAGATTTTCGGCCAAGTTATAAAATTGCAGGTTGCGGATATGGGAATTGCGACCAGGGCTCGCAATTGCGAACCCCGACCCCTGCTAGGTTCGCATTTGCGAAGGGGGTTCTCGCATTTGCGAGTTGGGAATTGCGAAGATTGCGTCGCATTTGCGACTACCGGTTAGGAGGGGAGTCATCGCATTTGCGATGGATTTCCTCGCAATTGCGAGGTAGCTGGCCTGGGCCATTGATCGCATTTGCGACAAGGCCTTCGCATTTGCGAGCCAGTCTTCGCAAATGCGAAGCCTGTAGGCTTGCAATGCACAGCTGAAAGTCTGCAATCTCCTCAAGTCCAAAATCCACCCTGTGGCCTATCCAAAACTCATCCGAGCCCTCGGGGCTCCAAACCAAACATGCACACCAACCTAAGAACATCATACGGACTTGCTCATAAATTCAAATCACTAAAATAACATCAACAACTATGAATTTAACATCAAAATCATGAAATTGCTCAAGAACTTCAAATTTTCCATGTTTCTCAAAAACTATCTGATTCACGTCGTTTCTAGTCCGTTTCTTACCAAATTTCACAGACTTATCTTAAATCACATATAAGACCTATACTGGGTGCCGGAACCAAAATACGGGCCCGATACTGTCAAGTTTTAATCATATTTCATTTC